CGGATTAGAAGACTTATATATATATTTAGACAACTAAGAACAGTCGCTAGTAAAAAATTCTTATTCAGACTTATAAAGCGCTCTGCCAAATTATCATTAATTATTGTGTGACGACGTGGGGTAGTGCACCAAAAACAACAATGATTCAACTTGAACGCGCGCAAAGAGCAATTTTAAAAGTACTAATGCACCTACCGTACCGACATCCTACTTATAAAGTCTACAACGAGACTCAGGTACTCTCAGTTCGCAAGTTGTTTATAATTCAAGCTCTCCTGAGATACCACCGTGTAACTGCCTACTCACTACCACGAACCAGTAAAAGAAGATTTCGTTGCCCTATACCCATTACCACAACCACCTTTATGCAACGACACTACAATCTATAGCACCATACATATATAATAAAATTCCCACCGAGAATATTGTTAGCCTTATAACTCTAAGCACCAATAGATTTAAAAAATATGTACTGAAATGGTTGCAAAATCTTGACTATGTCCAAACTGAAAATCTTCTTACAATATCTAAATAAAATACAATCATTAAAACACGCACAGACACAATCACACACACACACACACACACACACACACACACACACACACACACAAGCGCGCACGCGCGCGCCACCCTTCCGCACATACGCACAACAACAATAAACAACACATTAAACAGTATGTAACAGTAACGGCTATAAATTAATATTAATTAAGAATAATAAATTGTCTTATGTACTTGCCGAATATAGACCTAGAACTAAGAATTAGGGAAGGCACTGTTTCCTGAGATACAGGTGATAACCTAGTTCAGGAGACAGAGCTCCTTTGTATTTAGACATATTTGGTTGCTAATAAACGTTATTTATTATTATTATTTTTATTAATTTTTCTACCACAATTGAAAATTTTCGCATAGGAAATTGTTGGGCGATTCATCGAAACGAAGCTATTCACGAAGATTCAGCTTGATAGTAATTATTTTTACATGAAGGATCTGTACTACTACTTTTGAGCGTAGGACCGGGATAACGTACCACGCAATTTGTAGGACAATATGTCTGTTAAATTATATAAATATTAACTGAGTAAAAACAAAAAAAATCAGCTGGTTAAAAATCATTAATGATGACCTCGTTTTTGATACATATTGGATAGAGGGGACTCTTTGATCAAACCATAGATTTTGTAGGACAAATATTTTTTCGAATAATTTAGATAATTATCTTGAGATTTAACAAAAAAAAATCAGTTAGTATTAAATATTTGAGAATCATCAAATCAACATATTTTATCCTTGCTACTTCTGTTAGCTACCACAATCGAGAGTTTCGTACAGGAAATTATTGGGCGTCTCATCAAAATAAAGCTACTGACGGAAAATTAGCTTGATAGTAATCACGTGCAAAAATGGGCGATGGATCCTGGACTATTAGGATGTCAAAGTGAATATAATTCCTTTTCACATTCTTGCATTTTTTTAATATTATTCACTACATTTTAGGCTCCTGTTTCTATTAATATTAAGAGTTGCTCATATGTTACTGCTGTTGCTTCTAAGAGTTTTTATTCATTATTAAAAATTTCTTATATTTACGGCTCAGCTACTGCTTAAAGTATCTTACAAGTGCGTTGCGAGTCCTGAGTCCTGTTTATTACTGGATGATTATTTGTGGAAGGTTACAAAAGAAAGGTACTAGGGGATTTTTATTTGAGTTGGGATCTTATGTGAGTCTGATAAATTCTTAGTCTGTCTTAAATCTTATTGCAGTGCTTCACTAAGGAATTTTGAATTACTTTTTAGATAAAGTTAGATATTTAAAGAAAACAAGAACTCTTTACGCACCATTGCTGAACATAGGTCTCCCCCAAGGAATAGCACAAAGCACATTCATGAGCCACTTGTACACATACACTTCATACACTCGTTTGTGTAAAAATAGAAACCTTAATTCAATCTTATTCTTACTACCTACCAGTAATTTTATTAATAGCATTTTATTTTATCATACGTATTATTTTAATTGCTAATTACGCATACTTAAAAGTATTGAAATTGAGAGTTCAATGTTTGTTACGTAGGTATCTTGTTTCAAACAATCAATTAACATTAAAACAAAAATAAAATTGTATTCAGTGTGGATTTAAATTTTCTATAATTATGGTTAAATATTACAGTGCAGTAATTTCCCTTCTACATTTTAAAAATACTTTCTTCCTATTCGCTGACTCTCTATGGACCATTGGTATTAAACTAACAGATTTTAAGATTTTACAGTAACCGGAGACTCGTTATCTCGCTACATTTAATTTAAATTTTGCTGCCATGAAATCTTCGTCATTAAACTGAGGTTGTAAAATGAAAAAACACTACTTATATTATACTTTTGCAAAGGATATTAATATATTGTACTCAAATGTATTGCCATATCGTTGCAGGCTAAAAGAACTCCGTGGCCCAGTTGATCCTGTGGCAGTCATAAGAGGCTATTGAAATGTCGAGCCACTCGACGGGAAAAGGCGACTGTTATGTGACCCAGTAGGTGCTTTCTGCGAAGAAGCATAGAGTGAAGCAGGTGCAGATTCAGCCAGCTGATGCGCACTATCATTTGTCTTGTCAAAAAAAGCAAGAAATCGTTTTACAAAGGTACGAGAATTTAAACGCCGAACTTCCTCAAATTCTAAACTCACACAAGGAGATACGGATACCGTAGAGCAATTACAAGCAGCTGTAGCGGTAGCACAAAGAGATGCGATGTGGCTCAAGGAGTGCAACATGCAGCTTCAACAGCTGAAAGATGAATACCAGCATTTGTTGGAATTAACCTTTCAATATGCACACGGTCGGATCCGACCAAGGCGATATTCTATCAAATTCCAGGCGGTTGGATCCGACCACACCCACCCACAGCACTTTAAACCATAAAAGCTTATATTTAGAGACTATTTGTCTATGAAAAAGTTTGGTATTATAGAATCCATGTAAAATTTTCTACCCTCTAATGCAATAAAAAATCAGTTAATCTATGGTATTTATTTATAATCTACGTTCATTTCGTACGCTTGTTAGGTATGGCATGTTATTGTGTTGATTTTAGGATTTTTCTAGTGTGTTATTATTGTTTAGTATAGTGTTTTATTACAAAATTGTTATAAAAGTTTTTGTGTGAATATAATTTATCTTTTTACGTAAATAATTTTAGTAATATATAGAAATAATCATCATATCATAATCATAAACACTCACGCCTGTCACCCAAAGGGGTAGGCAGAGACTACAGACTTCCATTTAGCACGATCCTGACATACCTCTCTCGCCTCTTCCACATCCATATACCTACGCATACATGCTCGTCGGTTAAGGGTACTCTTAATTTGGCCCATTTTAGTATATCGCCAATTTGGTCGACAAACTTCCGCCTAGGACGTCCCTTTCTGACTCTCCCATTCACTTCTGCAACATATATTTGCTTTGTCAGTCTTTCCGCATTCATTCTTTCTACATGACCAAACCACCAAAGCATTTTTTTCTTAATCCTGGTCACTGCATTATCTTGCAAACCACACTCTTCTTTTATCACACAGTTTCTCACCCTGTCACTCAGATTCAGCCCTAACATACTTCTTAGCGACCGCATTTCTATTGCATTTATTCTACTCTCGTGCTTCTTCTGCCACACACAACTTTCACTACCATGTGTTAAAGTAGGGACTAATACAGCATTGTGAATTGCCATACGTGCCTTTTTTGACACATTCTGACTTTTCACAATAGAGTGTAGAGCCCCATTTACTTATTTCCTGCATTCACTCGTCGTTCAATATCCTTATCATATTTCCCATCCCTGCTGAATACACATCCCAAATATACGAACTCATCCACTTGCTCAATTAACTCTCGTATTTTTATTTCACATACCGTTTTGCTTTCTTCTCTTTCAAAAACCATCGCTTTCGTCTTACTTGCGTTCACTTTCATTCCCCTTTCTTTTAATGACCTGTTCATTAATGTAACCATCATTTGCAACTCGGCCGCCAACGACGCAAGTATGACTTGATCATCGGCGTACAAAAGGCATTTGATGGTTAACTCACCCATTCTTAACCCGCATTCTTCAACTTTCAAATTTTCCAAACAACTGTCCATAAATAGGTTGAACAGCCACGGGGAAGCTACACAGCCCTGTCTGACACCTTTATGGATGCCAAAACAGTCCGAGTAAACCCCGTTGATTCTAACACAAGCACTCGAGTCCCTATACAGAGACTTTAATGCCTGTATTAAACCAGCGCTCAACCTAAATGCGTTCAGCGTTTGCCATAACACATCCCTGTCCACTCTGTCATAAGCCTTTTCCAAGTCCATGAACGCACAAAAAACTTTTTTGGTTTTTCGCCAAAAACTTCTCCGCGATCATGCGCATGGAAAAGACTTGATCTGTACACCCCATTCCCTTTCTAAATCCCGCTTGCACATCCCAAATTTATTTTATCAGTTTCTTCTTTCACTCTTTCAATTAGTACCTTAGCATACAGTTTTCCCACAATGCTAAGAAGGCTGATACCATGCTAGTTTTTACAGTCCTGCTGTGACCCTTTTCCCTTATATATTGGGACTATCACGGCTTTGCACCAGTCTCCCTGTACCCGCTTTAGTTCCCAACATAAATGAAACAAGGTGTACAGCAGGCCTGCCACCACCAAAAACCTTCATGAACGAAAGAAGCTTCAAGCCCCAGTCAACGAGCTCACAACGAAAATTCAAAGTAGAATAAAACCGTAAGTATGCTGCAGCGTCGGATCGCGCTCGAAGCCAAAAATTTCAAGCATCAGCTACAAAATTAAATCGAAAACCACAAGGACAGGAGGCACGACCTGGACTTGGCTATTGACAATGCTGATAAGCTGTCTACTATTATTGAGATGAAAGAGAAAATTCTGAGCCAGCGTGCCAGCTGTAGTTTTAAGTCTCCTGTAAAAACAAGCACGGTAATAAGCACGATGCGTCCGGCAAGCAAAACCAACGAGTTCGTTCAGGAATCTTATGCTTTCAAATCCAGTGATATGCGTCAAAAGTCATGCGAGAACTCTCGTTCTATCAGTAGCACGTTTTCACACGAAGAAGAAAGTAGCACTAACTCTAGCAGTACACCTAATCCTACTAGTAATAGTTCTAAAGGATCCGATAATATATTAGAACATGCTAAGACTGTTCAAGTTGGAATGGCAGATTAAGCATTATCAGATGAAGATGACGCGCTTCGGAATTGAGCACCAGATGAAATGCAGAAGAAATATAAAATCTTTAAGGCAGATCTGGTCAAAAAATCAATAATAACGAAAAACTAATTTCTAGAAGGAAAAGTTCTCTAAGAAGGAAATCTACTGAGGTGTCTATTGAAGAATTGAGCGACCTAACTCCAGAGTTAATTGGAACTCTAATGTTTCTTTTTATGATAGCGTTACAGTTGAAGAAGCTAATACCAACATTACTGTACACGATTTCACCATAAGTAACATAGATAAAAAAAAACTTAAACGAGAGAGCAGTGGAATAGAAATAAAACAGGGAAAACCAATAGAAATCATAAAGACATTATTTAATATCTGGAGAAAAGTAGTAAAGTAGTAGATAGACACATAACACAATTTAGTAATACTAAGTTTGAAAGTGACAAATTAGTTCAGCAGTTACAAGCTGTGGATTAAATAAACGAACTGGTCAATTCTAAAGTAGAAATACCCAATAAGGCATTGTCTGAGTTGAACAATAATTTTAAAATCCTAACAAACAAAGTTTTAACCAAAGCACCGATCGCAAGAAAACGATCAGTGTCTTGTCGAAAGAATTCTAGACTTTAACCCAGAACTAGTTTGCTAGGAGAAGCTAATATGTCAAACCAAGGTTTATTAGATGATTTACTAGGGCATAAATGGCAAACATCAAGTGTTTTTCATAAAAGTACTCACTGTGATGCGAGGTATCACTGTCCTTTGAAATTAACTATATTTATTGTGGGTTGAATCTTTTATATGTAGCAATCATGTGAATTGACACATGATATTGTGACAATATTGCTTATTAAAAATATAACTTATAAATTTATTTAATATAACTTTTTAAGCTTAATAAGCAAGTTTAGACATAATATATCCGCATTATATTTTTGTCATATACAACGGGTGACCCTTTTTGGCATACGATACTTCATCTTGTTTTTTCATTTTGTTACACACTCGTTGTTTACGCCAAGTTGTGTCATTTGAAGCTTGCGGGACGCGCGTCTCGAGCCGGGTGAGGAAACGGTTAGCCTTGCGTGGAAGGTGGGGGCTTATTGTGTGCGTACGACGCTGCAAGTGGCCCCAGTCGGCAGGAACTTTGGAGGCCTACAGCCGTGCCGGTTAGACGTCGAGTGTTACATAATAGTTTGCGTCGAATGTCGGCGGCCTCCATGTTGTTGTATTTTGTCATTAATATACGTGACAACGAGGCTTTTTTGCTTTTTCTCCTTCTTCTCTCTCTCTCTCTCTCTCTTTTCCCCCTCTGTTACTCGTCGAATTGGGCTACTGTGGGCCCTAGCTCAATCGACCTTGTCGGGGTAACTCAAGGCCGTAACACTCGTATTATACTTTATATTTAAATCTAATCGTTTTTATTAATTTTGGTGTACATTAAAGAATAACCAAATAAAATAATATAATGATGTTGCGTATCTTGTCGTGAGTAACAACTTTTAAATACCTGATACTTTAAGATTTAAATGATGATAGATGAAGGTGTCTGTTACCTAAAATATACACTTAATATAAAATGAATTAAGTGCTCGTTTATCATTCCCATCTATGAAAAAAGTGTCAAGTGATAAAATTCAAAATAAAGATACGGGCATACTCACATACACCGACGAAAACAATAACAATACCTCTTTTATGACTTTGCCGTAATCGAATAATTAAGACTCCTGTCGTGAAAAAACACATCTAACAAAAGTGATCAGTATACGATCGTGATAACATAATTTTTTTGTGTGTTATTTTGTTATTATTAGAAATCTGTTGCCAGAAGTAAGGTATTCCGTGTAGTTTCTAAGTAAAGCAATCTTAGCTCTTAATCGTAAGAGTTTTAAAAAGTATTTGATCGCCACGTCGACTTTCAAAACTGTAGTGTTTTACTTCGGAATTCTACCTCTAAGAACAAGTAAACAAACATATATCTTTATATAAGCGAGCAATTGCGTAATTTATTTTTTAGAAAATGTCATAACGATTTGATTGAAATTGTGTATTAAGATAATCTTATATTTTCTAAGTTTATTTGGATAGGTGTCATTCATTTTTGTTTTCACATAATATTTTTCTAACTGCAAGCGTAGCTTGGTCGTGCATGTAACTAATGCCTTATTTGGCATCGATGCCAAAACTATTATGTCAAATTTTAAACTTAATTAGAATTTTATTTAAAGTTCAGGCGAAAATTTTCCATGTTAAAAGGCTATTAGAGATTATTTCTTCGCTACATGCATATTTGCGTTGCACGAAATATCGTGGGCGACATTTGATGGACAAAATTTTCCTTTATTTAAAATCTTTTTGCTTTTTATCAAGAAATCATCATCATAATCATCATAAGCCCGCGGCAGTCCACTGCTGGACAAAGGCCTCTCCCAAGACGCGCCTCTTAGCCGATCTTAGGCTTCACGCATCTAGTTGCTGCCAGCTGCCGGCGCAGATCGTCGCTCCATCTAGCCAGGGGACACTACGTTTATCTAAACGCGGTCTTCATACTATGACACGCCTACTACAATGGTTATCACTTCTACGACAGATGTGACCACCCCATTGCCACTTCAGCCTGCAAATACGGAAGGCTACGTCGGTGACATTTGTCCTCCGCCGGATTTCTTCGTTACGAATCTTATCCACCAGAGAAACTCGGAGCATAGCTCTTACAATCGCCCGCTGGGTGACTTTAAGTTTGAGGAGTAGTCGTTCTGTTAGTGTCCACATTTCAGCACCATATGTGGGTACTGGCAGGACGTACTGGTCGAAGACTTTCGTCTTCAATCTTTGCGGTGTGGGCGACGAGTGGACCTGACGAAGCTTCTAAATTATCAGAAAATAAAGGAACTAAATGATTTTTTTTACGATAAAGAATCTAATTCATAACATGTCTTTCATACTATCGATAAATTCTGTATGGTCATCGCTTTAAAAACGGGAACTTAAACGTCCAAAGCACTTTCCCGGATATACATTTAAAATTATCTATTCAGAATTCATCATCATCTACTATACAGCCCTTCACAAATCCACTGCTAAACATAGGCCTCCCCCAAGAAATGCCACAAAGCGCCGTCCTGAGCCATCTGCATCCATCGACTTTCTGTATGTCTTACCAGGTCATCTCCTTCTCGTGGGGGGGGGGGCAGTCCAACACTTCACCTGATGATACGAGGCTGCCTCTCGAAGTAGTATTCTCGTTTAATATAAACTATTTTAAAACTTTTGTTGAGTATTTCATGCATACGCATATTAATTTTCCAAACATATAATACACTTTCGCTACTTGTCGAGCGTCAAAATCGTATCTACTATACGATATTTTTGTCCATCAAACTTAAAATAAAATTAATACAGTTTTTTTATAAACAGCACTGAAACTTTTAATCGCTATGTGTGTTTAATACAGGTGTAGAATTGAGACTTCAATTAGGAGTAGTACCGAATATTAGCAGATGAAATGCGTGTAATTATATACCTTCTGATCAACTTTAACCAGAAATTAAGTTTGGAAGTAATATAAGATTTTAGGGTTAATAATTAGGGTTATTTTAATAAAGTAGGTATATGTGTATGGATGTATGTCTATGTACGTATTATCTGTATATTATATTGCGTATATCTTTAAAATAATGTTAATTATGATATTAAGTGTACTCTAAAATTGCTTCTCTTAGACTCATTCCGATCCCTCTCATACCTCCTAAAATTTCATCATGCTATATAGTACTTTTGTAATAAAACTACGATTGACCCTACAGGCGATCCTTGCAACTTACCGCTAATTTCAAACGCAAAGCGCTTCAGATTTCACCTGTTTATAACAGATTCAGGATTGAATTTTTCTTAAATTTAGCTCAAAACGTATTATAAAAATTCCAGTTATTTTAAAAGAACACTTTTTCGAGATTTCTTTCGAACAAATCTACCGATTTAGATTCGGTACGCAGAAATCGACGGTGTTTTTTGAGTAGAAGAACTGATTACTAAGTACCTTCAAGTGTCATTATTGTTCCGCGCTGTTTATTATTAATTTTCTAATACCCTCTACCCACTTACATACACACGCATGCACGTACGCACTGACGCACGCACCACGCACACACACGCACACACACACACACACACACACACACACACACACACACACACACACACACACACACACACACACACACACACACACACACACACACACACACACACACACACACACACACACACACACACACACACACACACACACACACACACACACACACACACACATACACACACACACACACACACACACACACCCACACCCCCACACACCCCCACACACACACACCACACACACACACACACACACACACACACACACACACACACACACACACACACACACACACACAGACACACACACACACACAGACACACACACACACACACAGACACACACACACACACACACACACACACAGACACACACACAGACACACACACACACACACACACACACACACACACACACACACACACACACACACACACACACACACACACACACACACACACACACACACACACAGCACACACACACACACACGCAGCACACACACACACACACACACACACACACACACACACACACACACACACACACACACACACACACACACACACACACACACACACACACACACACACACACACACACACACACACACACACACACACACACCACGCACACACACACACCGCGCACACACACGCACCACGCACGCACACACACCACGCACGCACACACACCACGCACGCACGCGCGCGCACGCACGCACGCACGCACGCACGCACGCACGCACGCACCGCACGCACGCACGCACGCACGCACGCACGCACGCACGCACGCACGCACGCACGCACGCACGCACGCACGCACACGCACACGCACGCACGCACGCACGCACGCACGC